GAAAGAAAGAAAGAAAGAAAGAAAGAAAGGAAAGAAAGAAAGAAAGGAAAGAAAGAAAGAAAGAAAGAAAGAAAGAAAGAAAGAAAGAAAGAAAGAAAGAAAGAAAGAAAGAAAGAAAGAAAGAAAGAAAGAAAGAAAGAAAGAAAGAAACTCAAAAGGCAATACTACTCCACTCGTAGCCTAGCTAAACTACTAAAAACACCAATTGCAGTACAGCTAAAGAAATCAAATGTCATCAGTGTCACCCCCGAAGTCCCGCACTGTCTGGAGTTCAGGTTTCTTAGAGGCTGCCCTGAGAAGCATTAGTTCCTGCAGCCAGCTCAGTAATGCCTGTCTAATCATTTGGAAGCACTACTTATTTTAAAAAGTATACAAATTACCATTACTTCCTCGTAAGAAAATCAAAATTACTCCTGCTCTAATGGTACAGTATAGGTATACATGCAGCAGATATAGCTGCTTTAAACCAGTTTCAGATCACCCAAGAAAGGTAATGATCACAATCCAGTAATAAAGAAGGAACCATTTACCCTTTTCCAAGCATCAAGACTCACCAAACACTCCAAAGGAAGCAGCCTCTAAGTAGAGATGCTTCCCTTGTGGCTGCCAGCCCTTAAATAATGTTATGGAGGGGCGGATCCAGGCTCCCCCCCTTCTGCTCAGACAGGTGAATTGCTTCCACTTGTGCTCCCAGGCCTGACTATGCCCCTTCACCAGGAGCTCAATCACTGGTTCAGGCCATGACCTAACCATACATATGGTTAAAGAAGAAACATGCTCTATGAAGCACTTTACACAGGACATTTGATAAAATATCTCTTGACTCACTAAACTTGAAAAGAGAGAAACTCCAGTTAAAAAACAAGCAAACAAACAAACAAAAAAAAACCACACTAAAATCATTCTATTTGATTTGTACTCAGCTTTTTACTTAGATTGAGTTAAAAAGGCTCTACTGATTGACTTAAGGAAATACATTATAAAATCAGACCACGTTATTGCCTCTAACACAGATGTTAGCAATAGTAATGGGACTAACCTGGAAAATGGGGGACTTTGAACATCCACATACTGTGCCTGCACATCATAACTGGTGTTTAGATACTACTGTCCTGCTATTGTTTGCTCTATAGGGAGCATGTTGACCAAAGAAGTTGTGGATGCTCCATCCCTGGAGGTGCTCGAGAGCAGGATGGTTGGAGCCAAAGTAAGCACATAGTGAATCATAGAATCATAGAATCACCAAGGTTGGAAAAGACCTAAAAGATCATCCAGTCCAACCGTTCACCTATTACCAACAGCTCCCACTACACCATGTCCCTCAACACAAAATCCAAACATTTCTTGAACACCCCCAGGCTCGGTGACTCCACCACCTCCCTGGGCAGTCCATTCCAGTGCCTGACCACCCTTTCTGAAAAGTAATACTTCCTCATGTCCAGCCTGAATCTCCCCTGCCGTAGCTTGAAACCATTCCCCCTGGTCCTATCACTAATGACACGAGAGAAGAGGCCGACCCCCAGCTCACTACAACCTCCCTTCAGGAAGTTATAGAGAGCAATGAGGTCCCCCCTGAGCCTCCTCTTCAGTGGTTGCATAAGACAAGATAGAACCTTCCTTTTCAGAACTGTGTAACCTGTCTAGTCTGCATAACCATGCAGGAAGCCCTGGAGGAAAGATCCAGTCTGGGCCATGGACTACGTAATGTCTATTAACAGGAGTCTCCTCATTTCAGCAGCTCAGCTCTTGAAAACGAGAAGTGTAATGGAGGCAGGTCATGTGAATCTTCTCTAGGTAGTTTTTTTTAATTTATTTTTGCTACTCTGTTCCTAAATATATTTACACTGACTTTGGTAGAACATGTGAAGTTTTCAGTCCATCCTCTGTCTTTTCTTCTAATCAGCACAACCCTTGCAGTCACTGGCACATTTAAATCTCTCTTTATGCCAAAAATTATACCATTGGAATACATACCAGTCAGCACAACTTCCAGAATTGTTTTGAGCCACGGACAGTCTGCTTCAAGTAGGAATTTTGAAAGTGGACACAAGTTTCATGTGGTAGGAATACCCACTGGTAGACGTGATGAGCCATCGCAGCTACTACAGGTAAAAGCAGTCATCAGCTGGGATCAGAGGACCCTCTTCTATGCTCTGCATGAAGTAAGAGTTATGTTCATATGTACTTTTGACCCTCTGGCACTGGTTGTACAGCATTATGTAATAGCTCTACAAAACCAGCTTACACATTGACAGGAAATGGCCAAGGTGGCAAGAGTAGTTACAGCAAACAATGTGCCCAGAGAGACTCCTGAAGTGGTTTCCTTTAAGCTTCAGGAAAAAAAAAAATAGGCAAGACAAAAAATTGAGAGATCATTATCCACTGATTCTTCACAATCGTAATAGGCTGCTTACCTTTACCAGGTCAGAAGGGGCTTAGTAGAACAGTATGGGTTTTTTGTTTTCCTTTTTTTTTTTTTTTTTAAGGAAAGAAACCTAGTTATACATGTCAAAGACTGTCAAGGAAAAAAAAAAAAGGAAAAGAAAATACAGTTCTTCTGACCTTAATGTTAGATACAACATCATGGGTAACTGAGCAGAGTTCACCATTAGTATTGAAAAGATTGCGCTGTCTTACCATTACTGAAATTCAGGTAACTTGGCACTTTTCTGCCAATCTTGCACTCTTGATGCTACTTTGATTCAATTCATTGGGGAGAAGCTCCGGTTCTGGGTCACTAAGACGAAGTCAGATACAATATATCAGTTCCTATTTCTTTTTTTTCCTTTTTTCTTTTTTTTCTTTTCTTTCCTATTATTCTTGAGTTAAGAACTCTGATAATGCAGAGCTGTCGTTCAGGGAAAATCTAGAAAATGAATTCCTTTTTATCTCCAGGCTAAGCTGCACCAATGAATAGAGTACTATAATAAAACCTATTTGTATGCCTGTCATACAAAGACAAACCTTTTCCAAAGGAAATGGATTTGAGTATTTGCAAGAAATGATAAACAGTCAGACAAAAAGGTACTGAGTTTCACTTTGAGATGCATGGGAGAAGTAGGTTTTAGCTTCCCTTGTCAGGGGGGAGGAATTCATATGAAAGCCATGTCAGCTGAGAGCCTCAGAAATGAGATCTTATCCATGTCTTTGAGGGAAAAAGTAACTTGGAAATATCTTGAAGGGAGTGGTTCAGAGTTATGAACAAAATGTTAGCTTATATTTTTAGCGAGAAGAAATCAAAAGAGGCTTATCCACTTCTGATAAAATGAATTACCTGGATTTCATTTGTGCAAAATCCTTGTGCAAAGCTGTGTTGAAATCTTGCTCTCTCTGATTTATATAACTGAATTACGTCAAATAGGTGCTTACACAAGGCAGAGAGCTGATAGCAAGCCCAAAGCCAAAGCACTTCTACTCCCCTGACTCTCCCACAAAGTCAAAGAATGCATTTAACTCACAAAGGAGCTGCCCAGCCAGACCTGGTAGTTCCAGCTCTGACATCTTTCTTTTGGGATGAACCTCATCCTTTGTGCATCCTCCAGCAAGCACAAGATGGAGGTGTGGTGATAGGCCACGGATGCTGACACACGAAGATATTTTGGAGTGTTTTAATGAGTGAAGTTTGCCAAAGGACAGCCTTGTTCACAAGGAGTCACCGAGCTCATTGGCAGCAAACAATCAAGAACTCTGTCAGGCTTGATGCTGTGCCCGCTGCCCCGTGCAGCCCGTTCCGTGCCCGCCGCCCTCCGCTGCAGCCCCTGTCCCTGACCGCCACCCGCCCCTCCCCTGACGCAGCTCCATGCCGTTCCCTCGGGCCCTGTCGCTGTCACACGGAGCAGAGCTCAGCGCTGCCCCTCCGCTCCCCGTGAGGAGCTGCAGCCGCCATCGGGCCTCCCCTCAGCTCCTCTGCTCTGAGCTGAGCTGGGTGGGTTCAGCAGCTGCGTATTTGCTCAGGGCTTTTGTGGTAGGAGAGCCTTTAAGGATTTCAGCCAATCACTGTAATTCCAGCCATAATTAATACATATTCCAAAACAATTTAATTATTGGCTAAATGTAGTGAAAGTATGCTGTCATGTTTAAGACTGAAAGGGAGTAGTTAAAGCATTTACTGCCTCAAAAAATGTAATTGTAGGTTAATACATAATGATGATAATTACACTAAATGAGGAATGTTTGAATGCTTACCAAGCTTAATTAAACTTTGCAGCACTCCTAAGACAGAAATATTGTTATGGTAATTTTAACAGGTAGATAAATTGCTCATCCTGGCACATGAAGGCTAGGTATTTTACTGAAGGTCACAGAGCCAGCCTACAACATAGCCAAAGAGGAGCCTGTCACCTTGACTGCTAAGCTGACTTCAAGCTGCAGTCTTCAAATAATTCTCTCCAGGTGCTTTAGCTTTTTCTGAAACAGAAACTGGCTTTTGTACGTAGGCCTGATTGCTGATAAATTCCTCTGTCCCCAAAGGATGCGTATCTCCAGTCTTTCCACAGTAATTCTTGCCAGTGTGGCAATTTTCTAGAAAATGAAGGATGTGAGGGCAAGGAAGAGGACAACATGAAGAAAGAAATGGAGGCAAAAACTAATGCCGGAGAGTGGAATGAAAGGAATTAGAAGCAGAAGAAAATGATGGCATACAAGAGAAAGGCAAAAGAGTCAAAGGGAAGTGAAGGGTCAAAAGAAAAGTAAAAGATAAAGCAGATAAGAAATGGAAAAGGAGTCCATTGGGAATTATCAGACAGTAAACTGTGAGTAAAATAAAAATGCTGTAAGAACTGAGATGCAGAATGTTTAGTGGAAATGTATTAAAAGTCAAAATCTATTATCTTCACTATATTATTCTGTTTGCATGCCAGGAAATTCCTCACATCCTCAATCTATTAAGTGGTACTGTACACAGTGATAGAAGAAAACTGCTGCCTCTGAGAAGAGATGAAAAACACAGCAAAGCTCCTGCAGAGTAACCCTAAAATGGTAACAGAAGCAGACTGTGAAGGGAGTCCCTACTGAGATCTTTTGATTAACCTTGCTATGATGTAAGTGGGGAGCCTAGATTAAACCAGACATTTCTTCCATTTATTTTTCTCTTCTTTTAGGTGAGAATAACGCAAATAACCGGTACAAATACATACACGTAGTTTCTTGCTTGCTTTCTTTTTCTTTCATTCTCTTTCTGTCTTTTCCTGAAACTCTCAGCTTTGCTTCCACACTTGGCAAAAAAAAAAAACCTTTTTTTTCTTTCACTGATAGCAAGAATAGTTCAAGATAGTATTAAAAAGGAGTAGATGGCACTTACAAAGATGAAAAATCTCATCTTAGCTGGCAGATGTGGCCTTCCTAACTCAATTAGGAAATCAAAGCATTGAACACAGAGGAGGAGCAGGAGCAGGAGCAGAACAATAGCTAAAAAAGGTATTTCTCCTGGAGTACAGAATGTGTGGCCAAACATAGCTAGGGTCTGCTCTTCCTAGTGGCGCTGGTCACTCTCATGCACTCTCATACCTAGCTTGCAAAAATTATTGCAGTGATTTGAATGTCAAATTCTGCTCAAATTAATGTTTTTATTGTACAGGAAAAATCTTATACCAATTGCTGTCATTCCTTCCACGCAGATTGCTGTCAGAGAATCTGGGAAGTATCTTTCTCTCTATATAGCCAATTTAAAAAAGCTTTGGTTACACCAGGATTTCTGTCAGGAGTAGCTGACTGCCGGCAAGACAGAAAATCATTTATTTTCTCTCCTCAGTAGCATTTTCTGCTGCTTCAGTGAGACTTACTGCTTGTTTCTGCTGTTTGCTCAGACTTCTCGTCATGGTCTCAATTCCTGTTGAGGTGATACACATGGACAAATACTGTGGTGATGCATTTAGGATAGTTCTGGTGAGCATTGTCTCCAGCTAGATGAGCCATACTTGTCATATGTATAATTTACTGAAGATCCTGTACCATATTATAACATGCTGCTGATTAGTTTTTGCAAAATCTATGGCTAGGCAGAATAGTTCATTTACAAAGATCAATTGACAGTTTTTTGTCTGTCTGACTACTTGTATTTTCAAGTTTAATACTTGAGTTAGATGTGCCTAAAATGCAGTAGATAGAGCACATATGTGAAGGAGAAGAAATGACAGAAATGCAGCCAGAGTGAACTGACTTATCTGAGTTAATAACTGCAGAGAGGGTTTTGTGTTCAACTCACTGAAGCACAACCAGCCCTCACAATTCAGTTCCTCCAATTCAGTTTCACATGTTCAGCTCAACCAGCTGTTAATGGTTTGAGGTTAAGAGTAGATTTCTTTACTTAATCACCTGACTGCACGTTCTGGCCATTAAATAATGTATAGATACAGTCACATGATACAGGATTTTACTTAAAAACTCTTGAAAGTAATTAAATAATGCACTATTCACTGACCCATTTTTGATTGCTTCAATTTTCATTTGGGAATATAGAATCTCTGGGGTGGGAACTTCGTTTTGTGAATTGTTTGTTCTAGTGCAGTCAGATTGTCATTGCCCGTGGCTATTCGCTGCATTTTCTAACTTTTGATTAAATATATATCATTATTTTCACTCCATATTAGTTATTATTTCCATGACTTTGAAATGGGACTTGCAAATGCTTTGATAAATGGATTGAAAGTGTGTAAATTCTGGAAAGGAATTATTACCAAGTCTTATTTGTAGCTTTCTCTTGCCATGGTTAGTGAGTCTCAATAATTATCATATTTTCAACAGCAAGGTCATGAAGTAGATAATTTAGGCCCAACTCATGCTTAGGACTGTTCTTCTTGTGGACAGATAGGAAACAAAGTGCAATGAATTACCCCAGCTACTGATCCAAGGATGAGAGACTTTGTCCCTTCATTATCTCCCTTGAAGGTGCATTCATATGAAATGTAGAAGGCAAGCTCCTGACTCAGTATCTTCATGGACTGGAGAGTAACAGCTGAACAGCTGCAGCTTGAGCACATGTTGCAGTCTTCAAAAGACAACTGGTTTGAGCAACCCTTCTGCTCCCACTGTTCAGATTTCCTGCCACAGTTTCTCTTCAGGCTTTAGCAGTTCTCTTCCACTCACAAAGACCCACTCAGACCTACAAAGCGGGTCTGAGGTAATTGTTGTACCTGAACCTGTGGGCAAACATCCTTCCTATAAAATTAAATAAAC